TCTCTGTCTATAAACATGAATAAAATCCATCAAATAAAACATTCAATTACAGATAGATAAAGGAAGAGAAAAGTTACTTTATTTTACTAGTTTCTCTTTTGCATATTTAAATTATTCAATTATTGCCATTGATCAAGATATGTTTCTTGATCAATTAAATTTATAATTGAAAATTATGAATTCTAAAGATCTTGATATTAAGGTTTAATTGCTTACACAATAGTGTCAATAATGATGATTGACGGAGTGACGGCGTGGCAGTGATGAGTACGATAGGATTTGGTTGGGCTGAATCTCATTTGGGTTTTTTCTCGATGTAGAATGTACGATAAGTTAATGTATTAAAAAAAATTAAAAATCGAAGTGTATTAATCAATATTTCAACTAATGGGCCGTCCCCATAAACTTGTCCAAAGATGCTCAAGGCGAAACATTTGGGCCTTTTGGTGCAAACGGGCACCGTGGACCGTGGTATCTCCTACCCTAATATCGCCCAATTATGCTAGGAGTGGGCTGCCTTTATTTATTTATTATTTTTTTAGCCCAGTCAGCAATATTGGTATGTAAATTGAAAGTTAAATAATTAAATTAATTTACAAAAATTAACTCCTAAAATAATTCAAAGAGAAAATAATCAATATTACATACGGTTATAAAATATAACAAGATTATATTTCCAGTCTTGTAGAACAAAAATAACTTCGATTAGCACTAGAAACACCATGTTGGCACAGGTCCCTTCACCTTCGGGTACACGAGGATTTTAATATTTTTTTCTTAAAAATAAAATATCCTTGCTAAGGTGTCGAATATCACAGAAAATTCTGCGTTATCCTCTTGTAAGTACTTCTCAAGCTTTACTGATCTCGAGGACCAACCAAAGAAGATCATTATATGTCCCTATTTGGCAGAAATCAAAATTCAAATTTTGATCAAGTTAAAATCAACAAGCACGTATTTTGTGGAGCGCTCAACTTTTAAACCACAAATTTCATCATTTTTTTAATTAAAATCTACTAAAAATTTAATTTTAATCCCCACTAAACATGGATTATAACTATTTACAACGGACAAATAGTAAAAATGCTCGAATGGCTTCAATGAAATGTAACTATCCAAAAACAAGTTTTTTAATTATCAAGGCTTATTTGTTTCCAAATCCGGTCAAATTGGCTTATAAACTGTCACTTTCATCTTTGCTCGACAGGTCTATTTTCTCCCACCCAGACACACACACTTTATAGTCTCGAGACTACAGTTGCTGACCCTTCTGAGTTTTGTCCACAAACTGGTCTATCTTTTGGAATCTATACACTTCCATTTGCCATAACAGACTCGTCACATGTTTCCTACATGGTGCCAGTCCCTTTTCTGTTTGTAAATTTCTTTACTTTTAATTGAATTCTTGAACAAATTCAATTAGATTTTACTCATTTAGGACACTCCTGAGAGTATGTATTATAATATGGTTTCTCAAGTGATGTTCATTGTACTTTTTATCCATCCAAAGTTCTTGAAATCGATAGTTTGTTTAATTGAGATCACTTTGAAGAAATAAACAATAGAAGTCTTATTTATCGTTTCTATTCATTACTATGCATCTAACATGTTAGTACGTGGACGACTTTATCATAAAAACCCATCATGGCATGTCTAGAATCGGAAAAAGTGTCGAAATTGAGGTGGTCAGGACCATCTCACCTGTCATTTTTTGTGCAGAAGACTTGGTGGGTCTTGTCCCTCTTAAATAGGATGAGTATTATTTTTCTGGAAAGTGAAGGATTATGTGTTTTGCACTCAGCTATGTGGAAAAGAGGTTTATATAATTGAAGAGAAGGATTGGATGATGTTTATTTGCACAAGTTTGTATCACTTTAGGATGATGAGTGAATTTTGATTTGTCATTCCATACTTGGATTAGATGCCACAAAACCAAATATGTTTACAAAACTAATGTTGATGTTCTATTGCAAGTTGTAGAATATGTTGCGTTCGAATTTCGTGTTGGTGCTCAATTTGTGGTCGAAAATGATCCACTTTTAAATTACGGTGAAATTTACTTGATGTATAGATTCAATTAATTTAAGTGATTACAAATAGACTCCCACCGATCTCATCTAATGTACAATTCACCACTAACAAAGTTTGAAATCCCAAAAGCTCTCGACCCTCAAAGTAGAAATCCTATCTGATTGTGACCTTGTAGACCAATACCAATAACTAGTCAATTTCTTGAAAAAGTAGTTGAGAATAGATGATTAAAGGGTTAGTCTTCTAATATGACGAGTAGACAATTTTGTAGCACTAACATGTTCCGTAAATAATAAAGTTCCACCCTACCACATAACATGCTCTATGATCTCAAAATCGAGAATACAAAAAATGATTAAATTTTCATTGAAAATTAATTCAAAGTCAAATATTAATTTATTCCTCTTTGTAAATGGAGGCTAATCCAGCAAAGTGAAAAGTATAAATTTTGGTACATACAACTTGAACTGACAGACCTGCGTGTGCGCATGGGAGGGAGGGAGGGAGGGAGAGAGTGAAAAGGTAGAAGCATCACTTTCATGCAGCAAATTCGAATTAAGTGTAGATGACATCAGATTGGTACGTGAACAGTGAGTTCTAATCGATTTGAATATGAAATCTGATAAGTCATCTAAAAAACTTTTATTCTTTCTTCAACTACCCTTCATGCCAAAATTGTTAACTTTTACTTGCTTTAAGTCCATTTAGAGATAAATGTAGAGTCAACACGACTCGTATTGTTGTGAGTTAAAAACTGTTATATTAAACGTGGCAAAACTTTTTGCATGGTTCATTGTTGTCACTTTGCTTCTGCGACTTCAATATTTGTGAGGGTCATGGCCAATCCATTGCAAGTAATATTTACGATGGTTTAGGCGTCAAAAATTGAAATTTTTTGCAGGGTATGATCTCATCTGCAACAACCTCTTGTTAAATAAAAGCAGTTTTTAGGTCTCAAAACTTCCTTCCAACATTTTAAAACCATGTCAAACGGGGTCTAAGGTAATTTATTAAGAAATAAGAAATTAGGCCAAATTAATAGAGAGTAACAGATCGGTACAAGTAGGATTTCAAATTGGGAGGCAAGGATGCCTTGAATATATCGAAACTTTTGATACAATACATAAACACACTCGTGCGTTCTTGGAAATGCACTCATGGAAAACATCAAAATCATTAATCCAGTCAAAGGGAGATTAATTTTGGTGCAAACTATGTCAAATCAGCCACAAGTTTTGTTTTTTCCCTCTTAATTACACCAGTACGAGCTAATTAGACAATATTATAGAAATACGTAAAAATAAAAAAGGGTCAACCAAGTTACACGAGGGAGGATCCTCTCATTCAAACTTCACTTCCAAGATTATTTGAGTAAAACAAGATTTTAAGTTCTCGACATGTACTAGGATGTCTTCCAATGCAAAGAGGGGGGAATAAAATACTCATATTTATTTCTTCATTATTAGCTCCTATTTGGTGAGAGTTAAAATCAAATTTTTAGTTAATTTTAATAAAAGTTGATGAAACATGTGATCGAAATATTGTTAATTCTATAAAATATGAAATTAAAGTTAATCGTTATTGTTATTATTTTTAGCATCGAGCATTCTTTAGTTTCACTGGTTTTCGTACTTAGTAAATTTGTAAGCATACGATAGACATCTGATAAGTTACTTAGTAAATTAAATAATGCTATTTGTAATTACTGATGACGATCATCATGTAAATGACATTAATAAATGATATGTCGATTCATTTGTGCATGTGAAAGATGTTCTCGCTTTTATTTATGAATTGCGTGTTAAGTTAATTTACATTATTCAACAAATGAAATATCTATGAACCTAAACTTTCAAGCTCTTAAGCTTAACTATGTATATAAAACAAAAAATACAATCGACAATTTAAATAAATGAATTTTGAACTTACATGAAGCATTTCACATCTAGAAAGTTTTATGTCTCTTTCATTAATACATGATGAATATTATCTAGACATTGTATAGTAACAACTACTAACAGTCGAAAATCTAATTATAATTCATGAGGTGCTCCACTTCCATCACATTTTTGTACCATTGATGACTTTAGTTATCTATTGATAAATTAATAGATTATTTATATACTGATAAATCAATAGCATCTTAAAGTAATTTTCGATCTCAACATTATATTTTATATAGGTTTTACTTCACCATTGTACTTTTGTAGAAGTGCGGTTTTCTCAAAACCCTATTTTGAATGAAAGATTTTTGTTGAGTTACTTATTCGTCTTGAAAACAGTTTGATGTGAAATCTTAGTCCCTTTTTGGTTTATATAAAAATTAGTTATTTAGATTGATTTTTATAAAAGTTGATAGACTGTATAGTTAAAAATTTGTGGATCCTATTAAATATATTATTAAAATTAATATTAACTTTACATAGATTTTAATTTAATGTTTTAGCTTAACCAAACAGCAGCTTAATTGGAAGAAATTTTGAGTCTTTGACTAGATTGTCAATTAAATTCTTGATTATTGCATTCCCAAATCGCATTTACTGAGTTAATGAGGATGCATAAAAGAAACAGTAAACACAACCTCCAAAGCATGCTGCAAAATCTAGGAAATATTTGGTAAGGGTAAAATTTGAATTATTTTGACTTTCAAAAAATATACATTTAAAAATTAACATTTGATTTTAAGCCCCCGTTTGTTTCTTTATTTTTTGAAAAATGAGAATGAAAAATATATTCGTTACGGACCCCACATAAAAGATAAAAATTCAAATTTGGTGGTTTGATGTGATGGATAACTGTCATATTTTTCATTTTAATGAGAAAAGAATGGGAACCAAACAGGGCTAAAGCAGTCAAATTTTAGATAAATAAAATTAAACCAAAAAAGTTAATTTTTTTTTCTTTCACTACTCAAATAAAAGACTTGTTCCGTCACTTTCAGACATTATCTCTTCTACTTACCATCTTCCTTCTCCTCCCCTTTCCTCTCCCCACTCACCCACTCCACTGTACCCACAATCCTCTTTCTGTATGCGTATGTGTATATGGTACAGAAAGTCACAAAACTTCATCAACTAAATGAAGTACCGTTAACAATTTGAGACCTTCAACTCAAGAATAATCTCTCCTTTTTTCTGTAACTCTATTAATCATGACAGAACCCTACTACAATTTCTCAGGAAGATGGTTCGACTTCATTCCTCCCCATTCACCATATTCTTCTTCATCAAACACTTCTTATTCACATCATGCTGATAATTTAAGCCATACAGTTTCTCAGCAAATTCCCACTTCACCTCATCCACAAGAAGCGCTTCCTCTTCTTATTAACCTCAGCCCCTCAAAAGATGAGCATCAGCTCTCATGCAGTGCCATAGGAAATGAAGGCAGATCCCTTGGCACTGCCTCTGATGAAAGTGTCACTATAGACTTAAATATAGGGCTTCCTAGCCCTAATTCTGATTTGGTCACCAAGATTTCTTCATCTGGGGCAGATATATTCTCAGGGTTGCCCTTGAACAGCATAAACAAGGGTCAATATTGGATTCCAACACTTACTCAAATTCTCATGGGACCAACACAGTTTTCATGTCACCTTTGTTCCAAGACTTTTAACAGATTCAATAACCTGCAGGTAAATTTACTGAACATTTTAGCACTATTCTGGGCTAAGACCTTAACTCTAGTTTTCTCACCTAGCTTTTTAGTTATCTGTTTAAGGAAATGGAACGAAAAAGCACCATTAGATAAATTTTTCATGAATCGGCGGGAGAGCTCCCATGAATAAATTCAAAACTACTTCTGTGTCGAGAATTGAGGATATGAATATGTTTCAAAATTTCTTTAATACATGCTTTCCTACTTTCCTTTTACTTATTTATTTATTTATTTAGATTTTGATAACTAAATTGTATCTATTTGTCCACCGACATAATTTTCTACTAGGGCATCACATCATGAGAACTTGTTAAATTCTTTTTCCCTTGTTTTTGAAGTCTAGACATGAGAACTTGTTCTGTTCCCAAGTAAAATCACAAAACATGTTCCATGTTTGGAACATATCAATTCCTAAGTTATTTTCTTAGCAATTAAAACCTGAACCCAACTATTTCACTTTTCTTTGAAATAGGAGTTCGTGAAACTTTGTAACGTCCCTCTCAATTCCATATTTCCAAGTGCACCATTCATAGATTTTGCATTAGTTTAGCTCTGGACAAGACAAAGTGGTGATTTTTTCCACGTTTTTTTTTTCAGCTGACTACAAATTTATATGGGATTTAGGCTTAACCAGGTGTTTCTGTAATTTTGGGATTTGTTTATCACCTGGACTAGCATTCTGGAACTTCTTTGTTTTTTATTTTTTTATTTTTCTTTGGAAATCTAACCGTAAACTTGTACCGATAAAGATCACCGAACGAATGGTGAAATGAAAAGCAGGATACAATTAACCAAATTATGACTTCTGGTGCTGCAATGTGGCAAATTCAAAGGCATTGATTATTTCCTAGTTCATATCTTTCTCTTGTTCTGAACATGGCCATTTTTTTGCCTTTCTTTCTTTTCTTATCACACGACTAGTCCCAAATCACTATAGTGGACTCGAGACGTGACATGTGTAAATAATAGATGCTGATTAAATGTCAGATCCACCGCCAAGGCTAACTATTACAATTAAATATTCGTTAAATAAGATGCTTATAAAAAATAATGAAATTAGCCAAAATAATTACTTTGTACTATATCAAAATGAATCATATTACTCAATATGTAGTGTGGCTATTACTTTAAAATTATCTAGCTCCTCTAGTTATAAAGAACCAATTAGAACCTGTAAGGAAAATTGTGAAAAAATATATAAGTTACTAGCTCAGTGAATAAAGAAGTTAAAAAATAATTATACTTTCTTGCTTATACAATTTTTATCGAAAATCGAGTGCACTTTATTTAACAGTTCAAAGTATAACCTATAATAATAATAATCAAAATGTGAGATGCCTCATAGCGTTGAAAAATATCATCTCATCGTTATGACATAATCATCAACTCAATTCCATATCATCATCTCATCACATCAAATGTAATCTATCAAATGCACTCTCTAATTGAAATCTGTAATCTATCCCTCGGGCCAAGCACTTTCGCTACGGTCCTTTGGCCCCCTTCGTGAACGAAAGAGAGTCTCAAAGACCTGATAATCAATTCTACATCACGGTCAATGCTCCTCTGTGAACTATATATACACAGTCAAGAACATTGTCCAGTCCCTCCAGAACAGGACCAAGGTCCCTATATAAACTAGAAGAAGTATATAATTATGAGTTTTTTTGGTCGATTTTAATATCACATATATCTCACATTCCAATTCACAAAAAATCGATATCCAATCTTTGAATTCCACATATTCTATAGTAATAGAACCTTTCTATATTAATCACATAATTGAACAAATAATTCTCATAATTGCATGTGATATGATAGTATAAGTAATTCATCAATATTTGAAAATATATGAGTTTTTCCACTCACCAAGTTGTAGATCAATTGCGACTTCAATCTTTTTTTCATCTCTTCACATTCAAAAACAAAGCATGACATCTTGCACCCACCCCAAGAAATCATATTTCCGCACCAAGGTCCCTTAAATCAATTTTTCCCAACAGTAGAAATAATAGTTTACCAATAGGAATTTGATGTCTTTTATTTTCTAATCTCATAATCCCAATTAATGTCACTAACAACATATACTCTGCTATGTAAATAATTTTAACATCTAATACCCAATATTTAATACTTAATTTGCTTTTCGTATTAAGAAATCCAAGAAAATCAAAAGATTACCAAAAACAGCACTATATTCGCAGAATATTAAACTCTAGCACCAATTTTTGTATAAAATTGTCTCCAAAGCTTTTGACAAAACCAGCCTTTTTGGATGAAATTTCTAAATAGCACCTGAATTACAATAGCTCCAAAATTGCTTAAAGCAATGAAGAATTCCATTCTCAAATCCTTAATTTAAGAGTTTAGCATCTTATAATAACAAGAAAATCAAAAAGTGAGCCTTTATCTCACAAACCCATTCAAAATTTCACTTTCTTTGACACAAAATTTCAAGTATACATTTCTTTGATATGTTCCTGTTTAATACTTCACATACCTACTAATAATCTTTAATTCTTCCTAAGTCTCGAATTTAAGGAAATTTTCATGAACCCTAAAATCTAATATCATTCTTCCATAAGTAGCACTTATGCTTACCCTGAGAAATTGAGGAAGAAATTAAAGACTCTAGCTCATCTTCCTCCTTTTTCGTTTCTTTTCTTTTTCTTTCTTTTCCTCTGTTTTGGTCTTTGCCTTAGCTTTCTTTCTCTCTTTCTGTTTTCCCCAAAAAATTGAGAAAAATGGATAATTCTCTTCTAAGTAAATGGATAACTGTGGAATAATTGCAAGTTAAGACTCCAATCTTCACAGTTTATGAATGTCTTTGCAGCAGACTTGACTTTACCAAAGATGATGAGAACATGAACTCCTAGCCATTTATGCGTTGGAGAGATCGTTTCTTATTTTGTGCTGAAGCAATTTATAAAGAACAATACCACTTTTAGTCCTTTTGTTTCCGATAATATAAACGAAATCCCTAGATTCCTTTATATATTATGTCTAGCCCTTTAAACTTTAGTAATCACAAATTAAGCCCAAGACAATCATTTGTTCAACTTAAGTACTTATTTGACTTTAGTTTGACCAAATAATTTTTTGACTTTGTCTACTAATTGTGGGGTGTAACAATCTTATCTTTCTTCAAGGAATCTCGTCCTCGAAATTCAATAAACTATTATCCAAACACAATGATCTGAAGCATATATTTGATCTTTTCTTACTGCATAATGCCTCCTCTTAAATGATTTATCCAATGTACTTTGACTAGACATAGAGTTCATTCCTTCTTATCTTGCATCTTCTTTGACATTTTTTGTATCAAATTTCCACAATTATACTAGATAAGACCGTTGTAACCTTCATCATTAAACAGTTGGACCCATGTTGTAAATAATATCCTAATGATCAATGTATGACATTCTAAGTGTTTCATCCGACAAAACTCTAGAAAATTTCAATTAGTTCCCGATTTAAAATTCAAGATAACTACTTTTCATGTTCTCCCAAAACTTCACCTAATATCATGATTTAAATTATTCCCCAGTCAAATTTCTTTTTCTTTTTACTACAACAATGGTTACATATTAAGACTCAATAACTTTCTTTCGAAATTTTGATCCCAATAAATAAGCTTTCGAAATATACAAGTTTCATATATAACTTCAAAAGAGTTATTTCTATATAGTTCTTGTTTGTCAACTTCTTGTTCAACTCTTTCAAATAACAATATACCTTAAACTTCTGCGATCAGTAAATATTTATGTTTCTCACCATGTGATAACATTACAATTCCTAAATGTCAATCCTAATATAGCCATCTCTATTTTTTTCCGTGTCTCTTCAAAAACTAAAACAGAACCTAAAATTTTTCATTCAACTTCGAAATACTTTTTAAACCCTAACATAAATCAAACTCATCATCTTATACAAGAGAAAAAAATTCTCAGAATATAATATGTTTTGAGCTCCTGATGACATTTAATCCATGAAAAATTTATACACTTATTAACATAAAGACACTATTCCACCATAATTTACATTTGATGATCATCTTAAACTTTAGAAAAACCCTAAATGTCATCCATATATTCCTTAATAAATATATTTTGATAAGAATGGAATACTTTATTCATGATCCAAAAATACAATTGAAAATAACCCAAAAATTGCATAACCATATTTTCAATAAATTCATCTTAACTTCATAATTTAGCTCAAAACTTCCCAATTGTATGTAAAACAAAAGAATAATACAATAAATGGCCATAACAAAATTAATTAACTTAATAACCCAAATGTATCGTCACCTTATTTTGCTATAGGACAACAATATCATTCAATTATATTCAGCATATCATGCTGTAATATTATAACCTTGTCACGTACTTATGGCCATACCATATGCCTTCTAACTTTTAATTATATCAGTTTCCATATGGTCACGATTAATAGTTATCATATTTATAACATGGACCTCTCACATTTCATTATACCACTAAGATTTCGTATTCTAATTTGTCAATCTCCATCAATTTCAACTCTACTGCTCTTTACTCTTCTTTTCTTATTCGATAATTTACATAACCTCATTTCATATACACACACAAACATATGGAAGATGATATGCTAATCATTTTTTTCTTTACCTCAATGCACATTCATTTTTACTGTATGTCAATGAAAATCAATATGCATTTCTTCAACTCACTTCATTCATATATTTTTCTTCATTCATATATTTTTATCCAATTTACATAAATGTACTTATCCAATAATTCTCTTCCTTAAACAACAATTTACCCCCACAAAAAATAATCCTTGTAAAGTCTATCCATATCTTTCTCACATCCCTTATAATCAATTAACCCATATTATCAAAATGATTGGAGTCATATGAATGTTAATTTCCTCAATGAATAACATACATATTAACACATAGTTCTCTACCAATCAATATTTAGTACAATATCATCATTTTATCCTCCACGATATTCTTATCATAAATATATAAGTATACATCATCGCAATTCCTATTCTCCTCTGTAAATGACTATAAGGTACCACAAGATTTTAATAATACAAATGATCATTTATCCCCAAAAATAATTAAGATTCCTCACATGACTGCCTTCATTACATCATATAATAACATTTACCTGTACTTATCCTGCAAGACATAACTAGAGATATTTTTCATATATAAAGGATCATATAATCTCACATATAATTTGTTGCTTACATAATTGCGTACTCCATTCCTTCATATGTATATAGCTAGAACACTACAAATGATCAAAACTATAATTCCAAATTGGTATCTGTTCACTATTGTACTATTAATAGGTACTAAGTTACATGCACTACCATATCAACCCAACAACTTATAACATTTTCAACTATTACCTAATCGAAATTGACATATTTACGTACTAGTCATTTCTAAATCTATTAAAATATTATCCTATCATTTTAGATTACAAACATACCATTAGAAAGAGCTTGAGAACCTGTGATTTTTGCCACCACGACATATGGCCATTCACTTTGAATATACATGATACTACTCATGAACTAAGAATTTTTTAAAATCATGCTTTGATACCATTTAGATATGACCCATCCCGAATCACCCTAATGAATTCGAAACATGATGTGTACCGATGATAAATGCTGACTAGATACTAAATCTACCACCAAAACTGACTATGAGTTACCACAAATATACGCTAAATAAGATGCTTATAAAAGATAATGCAATGGCCCAAAATAATTACTTCGTACTTTATCAAAATGAATCATATTATTCAACATGTCTTGTGGCTATCACTTTAAAATCACCAGGTTCCTCCAGCTACAAAGAACCAATTACAACCTATAAGGAAAATTGGAGAAATATATGAGTTGCTAGCTCGGTGGGTGGAGAAATTTGAAAATAATTATACTTTATTGTTTATACAATTTTATTGAAAATCGAGTATATATAATTTAACAGTTCAAAGTACAACATATAATAATAATCAAGATTTGAGACGCCTCATAATGTTGAAAAATATCATTTTATAGTCATGTATAATTTTCAACTAAATCTATATCATCATCTCATTACATCACATGTAATCCATAAAAAATGTACCCTCAGAATGAAATCTGTAATCTGCCTCTCAAGTTAAACACTTTCATCATAGGCCTTTGGCTCCCTCTGTAAGCGAAAGCGGGTCTCAAAAACCTCTGATAATCAATTCTAGAATACGACTAAGACCTTCTGTGAACTATATGTACACGATCAAGACCCCTTCATGTAGGATAGATCATCGGCAAGGTCCTTCTGTGAACTAGAAGAAGTATATAATTATAGGTACTATTTTTGTCGATTTCAGTATCACATATGTTTCACATTCCAACTCACAAATAGTCCATATCCAATCTTTGAATTCCACATATTTCAGAGTCAGAATATTTTCATATTAATCATGTAATTTAATAAATAATAAACACAATGGTACGTTGTATGATAGCATAAGTACTCATCAATATTTGAAAGTATATAAGTTTTTTCACTTACCAAGTTGTAGATCGTTACTTCAATCTTCTCATTACCTCTTTAGATTCAAATACAAAGCATGATATCTTGCACCCATCCCAAGAAATCATATATCTTCACCAAGGTGCCTTAATCATTTTTCCTAATATTTGACATAATAGTTTACCAATATGAACTTGATATCTTTTATTTTCCAATTTCATAATCCCAATTAGGGTCACTAATAATATATACTACTTTATATAAATTATTTTAACACCTAATCTCCAATATTTAACACTTAATTTGGTTGTCTTACTAAAAAATCCAATAAAATAAAAAGATTACCAAAAATGGCATTATATTTCTAGAATATTGAAATCTGGCACCAATTTCTGTGTATGGAAAATCTTCTCCAAAGTTTTTTTTACAAGAAAAGCACTTTCTGGATAGAATTTCAAAATAGCACCTATATTACAATAGCTCGAAAATTGCATAAAGCAATGGAGCATTCCTATCTTAAATTCTTAATTTAAGTGCTTAACATCATATAATAACAAGAAAATCAAAGAGTAAGCCTTTATTTCACAAACCCATTCAAAATTCCACTTTCTTCGGCACAAGTTTTCAAATATACATTTCTTTGATATGTTCTTGTTTAATATTTCAAATAATTGCCAATATCCTTTAATTCCTTCCTAAATCCTAAATCTCGAATTTTAAAAAAAAATTCCATGAAACTTAAAATCTAATTATTATTCTTTAATAAGTAAAATTTATGCTTTCCCCGAAAATTTGAGAAAGAAATTGAAGACTCTATCTCATCTTCCTCCTTTTTCGTTTATTTTCTTTCTTCCCTTTTCTTTCCTTTCCCTTTCTTTTTCTCTATTTTGGTTTCTTCCTCATCTTTCTTTCTCTCTCTGTTTTCCCCCAAAAATTGAGAAAAATGGGTAATTCATTAATGGATAACTATGGAATAATTACAAATCAAGTCTCCAATCGTCATACAATATGACATTTAGTCCTTTCATTCTCAATAATGTAAACTATATCCCTAGATTCCTTTATATATTATTTCTAGCCCTTTAAGCTTTAAAATTTACAAATTAAGTCCAATGACAATCATTTGTTGAGTTTAAGTCCTTATTTGACTTTAGTTTGACCAAATAAATCTTTCACTTCGAGTATAAATCAGTGGGGCGTAACTTCTTATTAGTCCACTTCCAATTTACTTTTATTTTTAGTTTTTTGGTGGGGGGGGGGGGGGGGGGGCTTTTTTTCTTTTCTTATTGAGATGTTGGGAGTATTTAGACTTTAAGATTTCACATTAAATTTAATCTTGTTAAGTGGAGTAGTTCAAACCCTTATGTTTTGATTATCTTTAATCAATGTGGAATTTATTAAATTTATCCTTAACAAAGGGAAGTGGGAGGATTGTTCAAAACTTCTGAAGTTTGTGCTTACTGCTTGGTACTCAGCCATATATTTGTCCAGATTTTTTTCATACCCTCTGAACTGCAAAAATATAAATAATATCAGAAAAATATTTTTTGAAACCCATTATTTCAAAAATATATGTTCCCTCTCTTCTTTTCAACTACACATTTTTCAATAAAATAATATTATACTCAAATTTAAATTTTTTTCTTATTTTTTAACCACACATTCTCCATTAATAAATGCTTTTATTTCTCAATCCGTCCCTTCCCCGTCCATCTTCCCTCCTTGTCATGAATATGTCGTATTTTTTCATGTTTGGCTGAGGTACAGACTATATCTGTCTTTCTGAATGTACGATGAAGAAGCCTGCATTTTTGATAAATTGAAATTTCAAAGAAGTCATGTAAATAAAGTTAAAGTCAAAATATTTTAAGTGAATAAATTGTGGGCTGGTGATAAAAAATGAATGACTTGCATATGAGGGGTTTTTTGAAGACGTAATTTAGATGAGTTGGTTTTACATTACATTAAGTCGTTTGTGTCTCTTTTCCTTAACTTTGTATGTCGTAAAATGTTTTCAGATGCATATGTGGGGACATGGATCCCAATACAGAAAAGGAACTGAATCTTTGAGAGGAACCCAACGAAGTGCAATGCTAAGGATGCCATGCTATTGCTGTGCACACGGATGCGAGTACAATATTGATCATCCTAGAGCAAGACCTCTCAAAGATTTCAGAACCCTTCAAACACATTACAAGAGAAAGCATGGAACCAAACCCTTCATCTGCAGAAAATGTAGGAAGACATTTGCTGTGAAGGGTGATTGGAGAACACATGAGAAGAATTGTGGTAAGATTTGGTATTGCATATGTGGCTCTGATTTCAAGCACAGAAGGTCTCTTAAAGATCACATTAAAGCGTTTGGACTCAGCCATGGAGCAACCAGAATTCAAACTGATTTTGAAGAAGAGGATGAATCAAGTTCTGAGATTGAGGTCAAATAATATGAGCTTATAATTTTGGTGCATAATTAACTGTAATTGGTTCAAACAATCATTAATCACGGTATGGAAACTAACTTATTGAGCTATATAAGATCTAGAAGTGCCATATTGAGCTGGAATCGATGACTTGATTGTCAAAAAATAATGATGGTCATCGTCTATTTCCGTAAAGTTGTAATTATTCCATGTTAGCCTCTAATCATTATGTGTGATGAACATCATTATTGATTGACACTCATTAATTTTTGTCAATGGAATTGGGTGAATTTGTCTTAATTGAAATCAAATCAAAATCAAGTTACATGATTGAAATTAAATTGAAGTGGTGTTATCCAATTTACCCCATGTCTGATTCTCATTAAAATGATAATATTTGACTGATAATTAGACTGTATTATAGATATGCGGTCAACCAAGTTGCACGAAGGAGGGTCCTCTCATTCAAACCTAATTTCCAAGATTATTTGAGTAGAACAAGACCTCAAGTTCTCAATCGACTTGTACTAGGATGTCTTCCAACGCACAGTGGAGCAAATAAAATACTCATATGTTTATTTTTCATTATTAGCTCCTATTTGGTAGCATAATACTAAATTTTTAGTTAATTTTAATAAAAGTTGATAAAATATATAGTTAAAATGTTATGAATCCCATGAAATATGTAATTAAAATTAAGCATTGACTTTAACTTAAATTAAAAATCTAGATTTTAATTCTTATCAAGTAGGAGCTTAAGGTGCAACTACTCATCAATTGACACACTTTCATTTTGAGAAATAACTTATCAGCATCTCAATGGATCTCATAGCCAATTTATTTAGTTTCACATTATCATCGTCGTCATCATCATCATTATTTAATTTCACCGATATTCGTACATAGTAAATTTGTAAGAATGCGATAGACCCATCATACATGTGATAAATGACTTAGTAAATTAAATAATACTATTTGTAATTACTGATGATCATCATCATGTAAAATGACATTAATAAATGATATGTCAATTCATTTGTGGATATAAAAGATGTTCTTGCTTTTATTTATGAGTTAAGTTCAATTATATTCGCCAACAAATGAAATATCTATGAACCTGAACTTTAAAACTCTTAATCTTAACAATATATATAAAAAAAAAAATCACCAACCACTTAAATAAATGAAATTTGAACTCACATGAAGCATTTCACATCTTGAAAGGTTTTTGTCTCTTGCATTAATATATATGAATATTATCTACTAACAGTCAAAAATTTAATTACAATTCAAGAGGTGCTCCACTTCTATCACATATTTGTAGCGTTGATGACTTCAATAATCTATTGATAAATTAATAAATTATTTATTTAGTGATAAATTAGTAACATGTTGAAGTAATAATTTTTTTGATTCAACATTACATTTTATAGAGGTTTTACTTTACCGTTATCCTTTTTTAAAAGTGCACTTTTCTCAAAACCCTAATTTTGATGAAAGATTTTTTTTGAGTTATTTATTGGTATTGAAATCAGTTCGATGAGAAGTATTTGTCCCTTTCTGCTTTATATAAAATTCAGATATTTAGATTGATTTTTATAGAAGTTAATAGAACATATAATTGAAAAATTGTGGATTCTATTAAATATATGATTAAAATTAATTATTAACTTCGCATAGATTGTAATTTATGTTTTAGCTCAACCAAACAAGAGCTTAATTGGAAGAAATTTTGTATCAGAGCATGGTTTATAAAGTTTTGAAAGTCCTTGTAGTCCATGCATTGACATATCATGCATATTCAGTGCGTATGATCAGATGTCATGATGGTAGAAATCACATGCTTTCAAGCTCGAATGTACGGAACCAAAAATAATGAAAAGATATTTTTAACAGATCCAGAAAAGACTAGTATGTGAATATGATAGTTGCAATGATCTGATGGTTGAAAATGTTATTAGCTGTTGGGTTGAAATTATGGTATATGTAACATATTAAGAGTTGGACAGATTTTAATGATTTTACTGGTTGTTTACGTATTAGCATTTAAAGTGATAGATGGTACAACCACTTAATTATCAATTTATATGTTGCATTACTAGATATAGTTTGCACGACAAATAAAAGGGAATGATATGCTAACAATCAGTGAGAAATTTTAATTATCTTGGTTGATTCCAATTACTTTGATTATTTATAAGATGTTGATTATAAGGGATGTGAAAAAAATGATATACCTCATCATGATTACTTATTATGGGATAATTTGTTACTCAAGAAATAGAACTAAATGGATATGTGCATTCACGTGTGTTTATTTGAATCGAAAAAATTGGAATTTATTGAATTTGGAAAATTAACATATGAAATCTTGATGATATGTTGTGTATGAAAGGTTCATAGGATAAATGTTAGAGTTATTATGTTGTGATGTTAACGAAAAATTGATATAATTAAATGTTTTAGGTTATATGATATGACAATAAATTACAAGGTCATAGATCATAACATGATATGGTGAATAACAAGTAAATGAATGGTATGGTTGTCATAATAATTAGACGATGTATTTGGATTATTAAGTTAATTGGTTTTACCAAGACCATTTGTTGGATTATTATGTTATATACAATTTGAAAGCTTTGAGTCAAATTTTGAAGTTAAGTCGAATTTAATGAATTTTTAGTGATGTAAATTTTGAGTTATTTTCGATTGTATTTTTTAGATTTCATGAATAAAGTATTCCATTCTTCTCGAAATCTACACATTATGGAACATATGGATGATATGTTGGATAGCTTAAAGTCTAAGACGATCATCATGTAAATTTTATTCAATTGTGGAATGGTATCTTTAGGTTATAATCTTAATTGAAGGTCTTTGTGTGATATACAAGAAAACTTATGCATTGTTGATAGGCTGATGGCCTTTTTATGGAATAAGAGTATAGAATTATCATGGATTAATTGTTATAATTGTCTCTTCATGGAAAGAAAGAGCACCAAAATGGTGTGGATTTAAGGATGTAAGAAGTGTTGCTATCAGATTAAATTCTGAGGAAACATTTATTCTTGTATCAAAAGTTGATGAGGATTCGATTTATGATAATGGATTATGTTAAGGTTTTGAACGTGTTCTGAAGTAAAATGATGAATTATGAATTATATGATAGATTGTTGAAGAGGCATTATTAAAACATGATTTGTGGTTGGATATATTCGGATTATGTTATCACATTGTGAAAAATATCAATACTTATCAATCATCAGAGTTTAAGATATATTTTATTCAAAATGGTGGAAATGGAAATTTTGTATATATTACCATTGGGTGATATAGAATTAAAGGAAAAGAACACCATACTGAGCTATCTTAATTGTTTTGTTGGGGTTAACTAGAATTTTAGAAAATCATGAACAATTGAATTTTTGGAGATATTGTCAATTTAGAATGGATGTAGTTACCCTCAAATATTTTTTGTTTGGGGATTCCAAATACACAAAATGGAGAAGAAATATTATTTAAATTATTGTGGATAGATTGATAAAGGTTACAATTTTTTTTAAAAATGATATAGTCAACTCAAAGGATAGACTTATAAAATTATATATAGACAATATTGTTAATTTCATGGTGGAATAGGAGTATTTATCTTTGGTTAGTTGTAAGAAGTTATATAATTAAATTAAATTGTGCATCTTCTTTTGATAGAATGTCATACTCTATGAAGACAAGTTCAAAAGAGAGGCTATCAACTATGGTTGGTTAATTAAAGAGACTTAGATAATTATTTATTTTAATGGAATTGACATATAAAAACTAGATACAAGTGACGATAATTGAGGTTATATATAATAGTGAGATATTTCAAGGACGTATAATGAAATGGGTGAAAGAATGTTGTTCAATCGTAATATGTAACCATTGTTATAGAAAAAGAATGTGATTAGAGAATAGTTTAAATTAGGACGTAAGGTGAATATTTGGAGAACATGAAAAGTAGTATCTTGAACTTCAAATTGAAAAAGTAATTGAGTTTATATATATATGTGTGTGTGTGTGTGTGTTTGTATACACACACACACACAAGTTCACACAATCATGCTATATTTTTTTAAAAAAGAAAAAGAAAATATAAATAAAATAAATAAAAGGTTAGGCTGTGGAATTGGATTGACTTTTATATCAATCCAATTTCATACAAATCCAAACCCATTTTCATAATACATAGGTGAGAGAAGCCGAGAATGGAGAGAGAAGAGAGGAAAGGGAGGTAAGAGAGAGAGAGAGAGAGAGAGAGAGAGAGAGAGAGAGAGAGAGAATTTGCCAAGTTGTAGGAAAATAAGTGGTTTATACTATTATGTTTGAATTCCTCAATTTTGAAAGGTAAATAAAACGTTACTAATTATCAAGTTATGTTTGATTTTATAGTTGTTAAATTAAATTCAATTTTATTGAAGGGGTCAAGTATAATAAACTATGAAATTGAGTTAAATGGAAGAAAAACTAGTTTTAGTGATTAAAGCGACTTTAGGAATCGCTTAAACATAAAACGATTAAGTTTGGATATCGCCTATTTAATGATTGAAATTACTTAAAATAATTATTGTTGATTTAAAAATTATATCATATTTCAGGCGACGATACAGATATCGAGACAGCTTACCAACTAAGTTGATTTTACGAACATAGAGAAGAGAGGAAAGGGAGGTAAGAGAGAGAGAGAGAGAGAGAGAGAGAGAGAGAGAGAGAGAGAGAGAGAGAGAGAGAGAGAATTTGCCAAGTTGTAGGAAAATAAGTGGTTTATACTATTATGTTTGAATTCCTCAATTTTGAAAGGTAAATAAAACGTTACTAATTATCAAGTTATGTTTGATTTTATAGTTGTTAAATTAAATTCAATTTTATTGAAGGGGTCAAGTATAATAAACTATGAAATTGAGTTAAATGGAAGAAAAACTAGTTTTAGTGATTAAAGCGACTTTAGGAATCGCTTAAACATAAAACGATTAAGTTTGGATATCGCCTATTTAATGATTGAAATTACTTAAAATAATTATTGTTGATTTAAAAATTATATCATATTTCAGGCGACGATACAGATATCGAGACAGCTTACCAACTAAGTTGATTTTACGAACATAGTTTTGTGAGTGCAAAAATATAAATATTTTTAAAGTATTTATAAATTAAATATATTATCAAGGTATGTGCAATTATGTTTTCGATTATATGATTATTATGAAAATCTCTTTTATTAAGATATATATGGAATCTCAA